ATTGCAACACTCAAGCCACTCTTCCCCGGCGGAAACGAGGTCGACCAAGTTTGGAGGGTATGTGAGATCATGGGAAGCCCCGGAAACTGGTACAACAAGTCCGGAGCCCGTGTCGGTGGCGGCGAATGGAAGGATGGTACCAGGTTGGCCGGCAAGCTGGGCTTCTCATTCCCCAAGATGGCTCCTCATGCCATGGATACGATTTTGCAGCAACCTCAGTGGCCCGCTTCGCTGAGCCACTTCGTTACGTGGTGCCTGATGTGGGACCCCAAGACCCGCCCGACCTCGACACAGGCAATTGCTCACGAGTACTTCGTCGATGCCGTTGATCCCCTGAGGCCGAAGTCCTCTGCGTCGAGAATCTTGGGCCGCAAGCAGTCCGATCTTGGCCGCGGCAATAACTCTAACTCATCTACCCCTACCTCCACCAAGCCGTCCTGGTTCAGGAAGTCCCTTATTGGCCGCTCCGAAAGCGCCGAAGTTGCCGTTCCTCAATCAATTTCCAAGGAATCAACCCCGAGACCGTCTCCTGTTCCCTCGCAAACGACGAACGAAGTCCCCGTTGCAAAGACGCGCCCTGCTCAGTCAAAGCGTACCACATGGACGAATGGCCCATCCAACGTCGCCCCTATGCCGATACTCCCCTCGATCCGCCCCATTTCGCCCATTTCTGATGCGGTGACTGCTGAGGCGAGAAATGGTGTGACTTATAACGATTCGTACGCCAACGGTCGTCAACGCACTGTTCAGATTGACGAGAAGAAGAAGATTGGCAGACAATTGTCGGTCGCCTCAAGCACTAACAACTACGCTGAGATTCACCGCCAGCAGGCCGAGCGAGCTCTCAACGGCAACAGTGGCCTTGCATCGCCGCCCGGCGGTCACAAGGAAAGCTTCTTCTCGCACCTCCGCAAGCGTGCCCGTCGTTTCTCTGGCCGGCATCAGGCCCCCATGTCACCTAACTCGGACGATGTCGAGGCCCAGGCCGGCTGCGGTCCCTGGAACAGCAACCGGTCCTCGATGGTGATTGATAACAACGCGCCTACTCCCCCGCCGAAGCCTACGGAACTCTATGAGCCTCTCGATAAGGCATTGAGAGATGTTCAGCAGAACCACGACAACGCTCCCGTCCCACCGGCGCACCTCATTACTCCCAGCAGCACATTGAAGAGACATCACTCTTTGCCGCAGCACCACCCGCGATCTGTTGACAACCTGATGGGAGCTGCCAAGGGAACCGGACCGATTTCGAGCCGAACCCGCCGTGCCCACGCCCACGGTGTCCAGCACTACGACGCGCCTGATGAAGAGGATGAGCTACTCGATGAGGTTTTGAACTCAACCCACCGAGCCATGAAGCGCCTCGAGAAGGACGGGAAGCCTGGACTGCGGCAGTCTGCCAGCAACATTGGCATTTCGAACCCGTACCCGACTCCGTCCCCTTCAGCCAATGGCAACAACTCTGTGTTGTTCGGCGACAACCACGAAGCCGTCGCACCCAAGCCTTTGGATCTGAAGAAGTCGCATGGCGCTGAAAGTCAATACAAATGGCCCACTCCCCCGTACGAGGAGAGTGAATGGGCCGCATCAGCGTCAGCCAGCATTTGGGCGGCTAGCAATCGGTTTTAAGGCGGGGCTGCCTCTGAGGGAGATCATCTCACAGAGCTGAGCAGATACCATTGCAAAAGTTCTTTGTGTAATCACGTGCATGGGATGGGTGTTTGGCGTTTGCCGGTGTACCGTTCTCGTCCTCCAGGTTGGAGGCGAGTTCGACTCCGGATCTCGATTTTCTTTTGCCCAAGATGTTTTGGAGCAGGGTGGCATTTCGACTATTCCACGATATCTTCGATACCATAGGGCGGCATCTTTTACGCCATCGCGCAAACTCTTATTTCTTTCTGCTTTTTTTTTTCTTTCTCTCTATCGACTCATCTGTTTCGAAATACCCGACACTATAGACTGGATGGGCTGCCATCGGCGCCCTATACCAAAGATAACATTTCTTTTGTTTCTGGGGCTCACACGGGCGAGGAGTGGCAGTCTCCCAATCGGAAGAAAATGGACATGGTCCAATAGGGACTGGGGACAAGATAAGGGAGGGTCAAACATGGTCACACATTTCTGTACAAGAAAGGACAAGGGCACACTATCTTCTAAGATTCTCTGCGGGCTGGACACGTCAGACGACTTTGAGGAAAGCCAAATCTGGCCAAAGGATGCCCAACGGATAGTTTGTCATATATGGACCGCGGAAAACACAAATGGTATACATATGGGCAACCCTGTCAACGCTACTCAAAGGCTGAGTCTCGCGATTGTTTACTCGATCGCGCGGAAACTATCATTTTTCTATTTGGAATTTTTGAGGATGAGGCGGAATAAAAAAAGACATATAGTCAAGTGGGGTGGTGGAATGGAAACTGTACGTAGGCGGACAAATACTTTTGGAAGTCCTGCCATAAACATACTACATAATATCAAGATGACATCCAAACGATGTACATCTATTACGAATCACGCTTATGAGATCTCTTCCGTGTGGCATCCTAAGAACGAGATATGTATGCCTGTACACTATGATGGCTATGACTATGTTTCTGTGGCCTTGAGAGTATGTGAATAAACGATGAGCTTCGAATTGACTCTGGGCTGAACTATCAGACGATTTAGACGCGCGCGCGCGCCGCGGGTGTGGCGTGGGTTTGGCGCTTTTTCCCGCGGCCGGTGAGCCGGCCCGGTACGGATGCAACAGGGCAAAGAGGCGGAGCTCCTCCCGTCGGGTCACTCCTTTGTCTGTGGAATGCTGGGGCTGCGAGCTGTGGGCTGTGGCGAGCTGAACGAGGGTAAGCCAGGGGGCCTTGTTGGGTCGTACACAGCACAGTCAGGAACGGGAAGAAGTCCCTGAGGTAAATTTGTTGGAGGCCGGCGGGATCTGCTGCTGCTGCTGCTGCTGCTGCTACTGCGGCTCCTGGTCTATTTTGCTGCGGCCTGGTTTTGGGGGCCGGAGGATGGAGCTGGTGCATGAGGGCAATGGGAGTTGGGAGAGTAGCAGAGCATGGCATGGGTAGAGAGTGCCAGGGCGTGTGAGGCTGTGTTTCTAGTGAGGGTCTAGGTTCACCGTTACACCGTTTGGAATAGGGAGGCGATAGTTTGGTTCCCGGTGCTTTCTTATTCTGAGGTGATTTGTTTCTTTATCCAACGCCTCGCCGTGTTGAGACTGAACGACGACTCATAAAAGTAAGGCGGATGGATGGTGTGTCTTGTCTTTCTACTGTCTAGGGTTGGGAAGGAAAGAATTGGTCTCTTCCTAGAGTTTAAGTGAGGGCAGTCATCTCCGCGACGTACAAGTAAGCTGCACAGAGTGCTTTCGCACCGGTTCTGGATGATTGGCAAACATATATCGAGAGGGGCGTCTCATGGCAAGATCTAGGCGCTCGTGAGCAGTGCGGGTATGGCCTGGATCCGGTATAGATCAAGGGCCCTCATAAAGTACAAAAAGCCTTAGGAAAATTGACCATGCCAGGTTACATAAGTTTGTAAGCATCTGGGTGAGATAACCGTACAATCAGACAGATATTTCCAGGAGTTGGCTCTCGAGACTGCCCTCATCCACCAATCTTTTTACCACTGGTTTGGTGATGGGGCTTAGAAGCGACTTTGATGGTTAACATTATATTTTCGCGGTCCTCGGCGCCGTCTCTTCGGCGTTCGTGCCCGAGCTCGAGGTCGGCAGCTCCACTATGTAGACTCTCATACCGTGCTGCGAGTCTGCGTCTGACAGAGAGGAGTGCATCAAGGGCAGACCAGAAGAGGATGAAGCGCCTTCAGTCGACATGAGGACGTGCGGTGTATTTCGAAACCGCTCTCCGTCACCGCATACGTTTTCTCGTGAGAAAGCCGATCAACAGGTGCCTGAAAAGGCCGATCTTTTGGGATGACTGACGAAGCGCACTACGACGACCTCATCCCAACGTTGCGTGCCAAGGATGCGTATCGGGAATTTTGTCCCGGCCTCGGGCACCGACTCGGTCCGGGTCACATGATACTGACCGCCTCTCAAGACGGGACTGGACCAAAGGGAAGGATTCGCTTACATCAGCAAAAGCCAAAGCACGGTACTTTCTCCAATTGCCCAGTGCCGCCCTGCGCCTCGTCAGCGCAGAGCCAGTAGGGAGTGCTGGCGAACCAGCCCAAAGGACACGCTTTCAGCCCTTTTTACTGCGCAGCTAACGACGTTGGTGGGGCAGTGTTTGCCTGCTTCCTTCGTCTCTCTGTCCCTCGGGCTCGCCCTATTCCATCCCCCCCGCCCCTCGACGTTAGGCTGGTGCTTGAACCTCAGCTACGGAACCTTGTCAACCAGCACTCGACCAGCCAGCGCTGTCTTCTGCTTCATCTCATTCCATCCTTCATCAAAGGAAACCAGGAACTCGATTAGGCAGCAGAATACCCGACGGGAGGCTTGAGATCTACTCACGCAGGGCCCCCTTCCAGTTTTCTTCAAACGTGGCCCAGGTGGACTTTTCTCGTATCGACCAAGAATCCAAAACTTTTGTCGCTTCTGCTCCGTCGTCATTATTGGCGAGGTGTCATCCTCTGCTCCTGGAGCTACTGGAGCTCGCCAACTCCCGACGCGCTGCACTGGGCTGTCCAGACTCCAGACCTTGCTGTCACCTCCCTCCTTTTTTTCCCACCAGCGCGCACCCGCCCACTTCAGGACTGAACCCCTCCTCCACCATTCCACAACCCCCACGATCATGTTCCTGTAGCCTTGCTTGCTTTGCTGTCCTGAAGAGACGATCAACGCCCGACTATTGTCTTTTGCGCCCGATTCCCGACGACTTTGCCATTGCTCTCGCTGATCGACTTTTCTGCTGGTCCGTCTCGCCCCCTGCCGTAGGTCGCCAGCGAGGGCTTGTCCCGTTCGCTTTGCTTCTTTTGCCATCGGGACTGCGTCCGCATAGTATGGGTATGAGCGCATATCCCAGCCGGATATTGCCACCATGAGCTTCAACCTCCCTCTTCGCCCGAGCTCCAGCAGCATAAGGAACCAGGCGAGCCGAAGCACCTACTTTAACAACTACACGCCCAATTCCTCTACCGAAGCCATCAACGGCCCCCTCAGGGAACCTGCGAGGGAGCTCTTTGGCACCACCGATCGGCTGATTGTCGGTGTCGATTTCGGAACCACGTTCTCAGGGTGAGTCGCATCCATCCCTGTGCAGCCTGACTTTACTTTTCGAGCATCTCAGGTGTGACTCTTTGCCTGCCTGAGCCAACGCCGACTGTTGCACTCATTCTTTGAACCCTCACTCCTTTGATGCTCTATGCGCACCTGTCAAAGCATTGACGGTGTTGCCCGAGCCCTGTCCACATGGGATGACATGCTGACACTCACCGTAGCGTCGCTGCTGTTTACACTTCAACGCCAGACGATGTCGAAATCATCAAGACATGGCCGGGCGGGAACGGCATCACCTCCGACAAGGTGCCTACCGAGATCAGCTATGACATTTCGGCGAATGCTGCCGCTGGCACCGATCCCACAGTGAAATGGGGATTCCAATTCAAGCCCGAGGAGGCACGTCTTCGCTGCATCAAACTATTCCTTGATCGCTCGCAAAAGCTACCCTTTTATGTCAGCCCGCTCGACACGGCGGCCCAGCTGAAGCGCTACAACAAGAATGTTCTGGACGCTGTAAGCGACTATCTAACACAGGTGTATAAGCACACCATGGACACCCTCACTCGAAGATACGGCGAGTCATTTATGCAGTCCACCAAAGTCGACTTCGTCTTGACTTGTCCTGCCGTGTGGTCCGATGCAGCGAAGAATACGACACTTCAGGCGGCTGAGCGAGCTGGCATGGGGTTGAAATCAGAAATCCAGATGATCAGCGAGCCCGAAGCCGCGGCGGTGTACACATTAAAAGCCATCCAGCCTAACCATCTCAACGCTGGTGATAACTTCATCGTGTGTGATGCAGGTGGTGGAACTGTCGAGTAAGTTCAAGGCGTAACCGGCGGTCGATCCCGGGAGCACGGCTAATGGTTGGTTTAGTCTGATTGCATACAAAATCATATCATTAAAACCGTTAAAGGTAGAAGAATCTGCCGTCGGTACCGGTGGTCTTTGCGGCAGCGCGTTCCTCAACTACAGATTTGAAGAACATGTCCGGAACAAACTGGGCCACAGCCGTTTCGACGAGATGAAGGTCAAGAAGAATAAAACATGGCAAATGGGCCTGAGGTATTTTGAGGAGTTTGTTAAACGCAACTTCAACGAAGACGAGCACCAGGAAGTGAACGTGCCGTAGGTCTACCCCTTGAACGCTGAAAGTCAAAACGTTGTGAGGGAATCTTCTAACTCGGTACAGATTCCCAGGCTTACCTGACGACGAAGAGGCGGGCTTGGACTGCGGCTTCATGGTCATGTCGGCTGATGAAATTAAAGAGATATTCGCCCCTGTCGTGAAAGAGGTTTGCGACCTAGTCCAGGGTCAGGTCACTGGTATTCGTTCCAAGGGCGGGATTGTGTCGGGCATCGTGCTGGTTGGTGGTTTCGGGCAGAGCGACTACCTATACCGAAAGCTCAAGACACACTTCACTAGTGCTGCACCGCCTCCGTATACCGAAAGGCCAACACACGGCAGCGTGACCGCACTACAGGAGACCAGCTCGATCGAGGTCATGCAGCCAGTGTACGCATGGACGGCCGTCGTGCGCGGAGCGGTGCTGCGAGGACTCGAGGGCAACATGGTGATTTCGCGCAAGGCGCGGTACCATTACGGCACATCGTACGCAACCGTGTACGACGAGGAGAAACACTCGGTCAGTGAGCGATACTGGTCGCCGCTGTGGGAACGGTGGATGGTGTCGGACCGTATGCAGTGGCACATTGCAAAGGTGAGTTTGGACCTCTGTTCTTCGCTTGGCTTCAAGAGACGAATACTGACGCGATCCTTCTCAAACAGGGAGAAGCAATATCTCCGTTATCACCAATCGCATTCCATTATACCCGAAACTTCAGGCCCGGGCAGTCACTGCTGGTGACGGACGACCTGATTGCGTGCGAGGCAGACGAGCCGCCTGCTGCCTATACCCGCGATCTGATTCATGTATGCACACTGACGACCGACCTCAATGCCGTGCCGAGGAGCCTATTCACACGATTGACGACAACGCGTGGCGTGGAGTTTGACAACCTTGACTTTACACTCGAAATGATCGTCGACAGCGCCGGTCTAGGATTTGAGCTGAAGGTGGACGGTGTCAGGTACGGGCGTGTCGATGCCGAGTTCCATTGAGCAATGGATGGACCATAGAGAGAGGTCTCATGGACGGCGACAAAAGGACCGAGCGTGAACAGAGGGAAACCCAGGAAACGGCAGAGGCAAAGGTTCTCAAATAGGAATCTTGAGCCATGAAGTGAGCACGGGAGGGAAACCCATTATCGCAGTCGTCCTCGGTATCTCGTCATATATACACACATAGTTGGCGAGGATCCAGTCCCGAGAACACAACTCACTTTTTATATCCCGCCAAGCAAGACAACACTTTGTGCCACAAGGTTGGCGCGTCCAATTGCGTGCATGATGAGGCAGGGTTTTTGTCAAAGTGCGGACGACAAGCGTTTCCGATTGGGGGGTTGGATCTATGAGAAAGTTGCGACATTGATACCTACACTCGGTCTGGGACGATGTTTGAGTGAGGCGTGCAATGGTTCGCCCCGCATATTCAAGTGGGAGTTCCAATTCAACGGTTGTCTCGAGTACCATGCACTTCAACTTTCTTCTTCTTCTCCTTCTGCATGTCGAAAACTACATTTCCGGCCCATCCATCCGTTTACAAACACGAGAATATGTGACCCTGCCAAGCAAGATTTCCTCAATGACTGTGTCTCCCCTTATCAACGAAAAATGACGGAGACGCCGGCATATCCTCGTCCCAAAAATATCGCCGTACGAGCCGAAAGTGAGGCTGTGCAACGGCGCATCTAAGTGGTTCAATAAAAAAACCCCCGTCTCCAAGACTGTTTTTCAATTACCTACGTATGTTTAGGTAGGTTGTGTTTTTTTTTTTTTTTTTTTTGCCACACCACACAGCCCTGCTTTCAAAATTGACTGATGGCGAAACGACGAGTGCCTTGGAATTCCATTTGGTGCAAAAAAGGTTGGTTCACGCAGCTCACTATTGGCTCGACGGCGCCGAATTGGGTAAATTTCGTGAGGCGGAGAGCTGGCTGGCTGGAGTGGTTCCCTCGTGTCTGCGGCGATTCTTTGGGTTTTTGATATAAGACGGGGATGTGGGAGGCCCCGCTCACTTACAGAAATGATAAAGGTTTGGACGTTTCATTCTTTCACACCACCTCACTTATATCTACAGATCATTGAAATTGGTGAGGTTTTCATTCAGAATGAAATAGCGATGGCGAGGAATGTAAGCCAAGTGCAGATTATGTAACATCTTGAGCCTAATTCCGTTCTGTAGTTCGTCCGCTCTTACTGCGGCTGTTGTTGCTGACTGCCTCGGAGCGGGGAGCATTCTGTTCCTTTCCCTATTCGAAACGAAAAGCATGAAACGAGACCTAAAGGAGCGGCCCCTGCAGTCAAGTCGGGCAAGAACGAGGAGTGCCCTCGTCGATGACTTAACAGTCTTACGGGTCGTAGCTGCCTGAAGAAAGGATGATAATACACATCTCCTTCTCTCTTCCGCTTAACAACCCATCATCGGATCACCTCTTCCTTCGCACAGCTGCAAAAACATCATGAGACCATGCAAAACAACAACAAAAAAGCCAATCTCAGCAGAAACCCTTACAGACAATCCTCAAGGGAGCTGTCAACGTCGAGCTACCAGAGGCCCGCGAGACACTGAAAGAGGGGACGATCCTCCCAGGATACCGAGAGACACTGACCTCGTCCGGCTTGGTTTGCCGCTCGCTTGAGCCGCCATCTTGCTCACCAGCTCGAGCTGGTGACCAGGTGACCTTAGTGTCTGCCTCGTATCCGCAAATGACCCCCAGCCTCGCACACGTCCTCGGGCTCGGGTATACAAGACAGGAGGGGTTCCCTCAGGGTAGTAGCCCCATCTGCGGGTTCCTGCAGTACCCAGCCTCCAGCAAGATGAGCAGCCTTTGAACAGAGTTCTCGACTAACCCGATATGAGGAAACCTTACAAATAGACGAGAAAATCAGATGAACGGTCGTAGCCGTCCCCGTTGGTGGCAAAGGCTAATCGGAAAATCTGCCGCTTTCCCCGGCCCATGATCGACACCGTCGCCTCGGCCCGCTCCGGTATCAAAGCGCCAGCTACCCACATCTCCGGAATCCTCGAGCGTTTGTAGTGACGACACTACATCAACAACAATACCATGACTGTTCTTGGTCGTCATCAGCGACGCCTCCCCTGGTTCCGTCTTCTTCTTCCATTTCCTGCAATGATGACCTCGGCCTCTTCTCTGGGTGGCCTCCAACCCGATGGATAAACATTCTGCGTACGAGGGCCTTCGCTGGCACTGATGGCTTGCTGGAAGCTCTGAGGAGTGATCATTTTACAACGATACAAGTGTTCAAGAAGGCTAAAGTCGGGCCGTCTTTGTTCGAATCTATATGCCTCATGAAGCATATGGTGGGCGATGTGTCTCATCCTCCGGCTCCAGTTCTCGCCAGGATCAGGACAACGTTGGCTCACGTTGAAGTCGAAGTCGTCGCAAAACCAGCACACGCATGCCGCAGGATAAGCGCCTCGCAGGTGAGTGTCCTCGGTGTGCCTGATCCACGAGTCGACGTCATCGAGTCTGAACTGCTCTCGGCAACCAGTCCAGGGTTGAAACTCGCAGTAGAGCATGTTATTGCTGGCCGGGGGAGCAGTCTGCTGCTGCACGATGCCCTGGTAAAAGGTGCTAATTGCGGAGTACTGTGATGGAGCTGGCGTATCGGAGTAGGCTCGAGGCATCCCGAATTCGTCGTATGGCATCAGACCACCCGGCGAATGAGTGTAGTGGCTCTGGTTGCCGTAACTGCTCCCAGATATCTGTGAGGCTGACGAGGAGTTCGCATAGGAAGACACGCTAGGAGTATATCGAGGAGTGTTGTTCCAAGAACCGGGCTGGGAGTTCCCAGACCACGAAGACGAGTGGTATGGGTCACCAGAGCCCTGACCGTTGGACGACATATTGCGCAAAGGGTACCGGTACCTAATAAGAAGTGCGGAGCACCTGGAACAAGACTTTGAGGAACGACTCTATGTTTGGACGAATGAAAAGGGTGAAAGCGAGTCACAAAGAGAAACCCGCAGTTTGTTCCCAACAAATGAAAGAATTGCAGAGCAAGATCGAGATGTCGAAGTTGAAAAGCGATAGACACCACAGAGGGGTGGAAAGCTGACGGCCGATCTGGGTAGGTGGAGACGATGTACTGCTAACAACAGAGGCAGGACCGGGTGGGCGGTTGGTGGTCACAGATGACTCTGCAGCTCAGTGACCTGCACTTCGACCGTTCAAGGAAAGACGGTACTACCCAACAACGACGAGAATGCAAGCGTGGAAAGATACAGTGTCCGCGCAAGGATGGACGGATACTCTTTGCAGGGAAGGTAGGTATGTTGAAGCTATGGGAAGTGGGATGGAAAGAGTTAAACCTCTTTGCTTTATTTCTTACGCATTGGGGACGCGTCAGATCTTATACGATCATAGTGTTCTTACATGCACACGGTTGCTCGGGTATGGCACCCTCTCGACGGCACTCCATGCGAACCATGGCCGGCGGCGGCACGAGCCCACCCACGTCCGAGACGGATAGGTACAGCTCTCCACGCCAATACCAGTATCAGCCCCTCCAACCGGTTCCATTTCGCCAACCCTCGAATGGACCAGAGAAGAAGCATGTCAGCAAATATCCAAAGTGGCATTGAGGCAGACATCCTTTCCTCGCGAGGAGGTTCGTCCTGATAGGAGTCTGTTTCCGATGTCGTGTTCCGCCGCGCAGAAGATCGGCGATCGTTTCAATGGAAGCATTGAATCGGAGGTGGTGTCCGATCGTATGCGCCTGTGGCAGCTCCAGCTCCGTAGGGCTACCAACATCTTTGAGTGCAATGACCCTTGGGCTTGCAGCGCAATGTCGTGCGGGACCGATTCACGTCGACTTCATCTACAGTTCAAATTCCCCGTCTCTGTATTTCCCTTCTACATGGATACAATGGCGATAGCCACCCACTATGAGCTGTCCACGTGTACGGCCGCGGCATTAGGAATCGAGCGGGGGGGCGCCTTCGCAGACATGGAAGGTCGCCAGAGCAAGCGAGTGCTGTATAGCGTGCTGTAGTAACACGGCGGAAATGCCGGGAGTAGCCTGCATTGCGAGCGAGTCTTGTACCTCAACAGGAGCTCTAGCAAATTATTCAAAAAAGGGGCCCATTGACTTTCTTTTGCAGGAACAGTAACGCCGAAGCAGCATTTCTCGAATTGCAAAGGTCCTCTGTTGCGTCAAGAAATGTGCCACAAATACACTCATTTCCGCGGGACGGTATCGACATGAAGTCAACTTGCCATTGGGGGCGGAATCTCGATAATGCAGTGGCAGCGGCACGACACATGGAAAGCAAGGGCGAGGATTTGCCATACAGCACGAGTGCGTCGAGTGTCGAACCGTGCTGGAGGAAGGTGTGGGAATCCACTTGACCCGGAGAGAATCTTGCCCCGATAGTTCGCAGAGCCTCAATCCTTCCATTCCGCTCGCCCAAATTTTGTCTCTCTGTTCGGGAGGATCAAGTTGGCTCCGCAGGTTGATGTGATGGATTCCGTATCCGTAGGAAGGAGAAGGGGGGGGGGGGGGGGGAAGAAGGAAAGAGAGACGGAACCCCGCTCTTCTCACCCACCCCGGCCGACCAAGCTGCAGGACGCTCGCCAGACTGCAAAGGGCTGCATATCTTGGGGTGGTAAGTGGACAAGGGGATTGCAGTGAACACGATCTATCGATTGGCCGACGTCACGACTTTCACGGCGTCGCCGAGTTCACCGTTGAATCCTCGTCGTTCGGTAGTTCTCGATGCAAAGCAAGCAAGCTACTGATGAAAAGCTTCCATGACGTCCGTGATGGAACCAGCTTACAGAATGTTGCAGTAAGGCTCGGTTAAGCCCTCCCGTCCGCGCCGCGCGGGAAGGAAATGATGAAGGATTAGTTCGTCTTCCCGCTTTCGTTTGTCGTCTGCAGGATCATCATGTGGACGGGCCGCCGGCGATGGCTGACGAAAGGGGGATAAGCAATGATAGGTAATGCTGCGAAAGGACGTAATGTGCAAATCTTACTTGCGTCCATGGTTTGATAGGGGTTTCTGCGTCACCAAGAACGGTGTATCAAGGGTGAATATGGAGTACATGTGACATTTGATATACTCAGACGGGATGTCAGGACAAAGGGGCGCAAGGCAACTGTTAATGTTCGACGACGCTTGATAGAAACGTGAAGAGTTAAGGTAGTTTAAGCACCAGAGTTGTGTCTTATTCGGGACTACATAGGACCCTAGCCTTGGCAATGACATTCTGATACTGCATGTGGCCCCCGTTCTCGTCCCCGCGCTTAATGATGCCGGGAAACGTGACGCACGCGATATCGCGCTGCGACAGCGCCTCCTCGTCCTCGCCGCCGATATCCTCCATGGTGGCGGCGTCGAACCTCGTCTGCTGGTGCGGGACAATGTCGGGCATGTGGACCCGGAAGACGGCCTTTTGCACGGCGAGCTGCCGCGCGAGATCCGCAGCGCTGCCGACTAGGGCGCGGAGACCCGCGTCGCGGGTGTTGGTGGTCTCCCCCGTGGCTGGTGGGGCCGAGGCTGCGTCCGTGACGGCGTCGAGGATGCGGTTTACGCGGGCGATGACGCGGTCCGTTGCTGCTGAGGTCTCGGCTTGCATTTTGGAGTCCGCTTCACGCTGGAGGAGGGCGAGGGTTGTGGAGCGCCAGTTGTTGATTGCTTCTGGGGAATCGACTGTGCGTGGTGTTAATAGCTGGCCGCCGTTTCTGTTTTCGTTTTCCATCCTTTGCTCCCGAGACAAGGGGCTAAGGGGTAAGGGAGAAGAACATAATGTAAGGATCATTACTAACCATAATTTGAGAGGGTCTGTTCCACGGCCTTGAGCTGCTCAGCCTGCTCCTTGGGGAGGCCGAAGAAGTACGAGTTGAAGATTGTGTCGACGAGCACGCGCGAGACGACGGACTGCAGCAGGTGGACTTTGGCCGAGGAATCGAGGTCGGCGTACATGGGGACCAGCTGGCCGAGCTCCTCGAGAACGTCGTCGCTTGCTGCAGCAAAGTCTGGCATATTAATTAGTTTACATTATACTCTCTTACCTTGTCTGCGCTATGTTCCAGAGATTCTTCCAAGGTATTTTTCACGGAGAGATATAAGGAGAAGAACGTACCCAACTTTGCCCTTCGAAAGTTGACAATAACCCAATTCTGCAACCCGTTGCTCAACCTCGCCATGCCATCGCAAAACACCTCATCAGACGTCTGCCCGCTCGTCCGCGTGCTCGTGCTCACAAACTCCTTGAGCCCGCGCACCTGCACCCTCAGCTCGCCGACCTCGCGCCGCAGGGCATCGCGGTCGGCGTCCCGGGCCTCGGACTCTTGCCTGAGGAGCCGCAGATCGGCGTCAGCGCGGAGGAACTGCTGGTTCACATCGCTGTGCTTCGCCTGCCAGAACACGGCAGTCTCGCTCTCGTTTTGCGAGAGCTTATCCAGCTCCTTGGTGAACTCTCGTTCCATGATTTCGAGCTCGCGCTCCAGGTGCGCTATGCGCGCGTCCTTGTCTTTGATTTGGGCCGATGTGGAAGAGGTGCCCCCGCCGTGGCCGGTCGTGGCTGCGGTGCCAGCAGCATTGCTGTTGTTGCTGCTGCTGCCCCCACCCGTGGCCTCCTTGTGTCTCGACTCCTTATCCTTGGCATCTTTGCTGCTGCTCGACGCCGCGGCCGCTGTGACGCCGTCCTCGGGGTTCGGACTCGCGGAGGAGGAGTTCACGGGGGCGTGGTGAGCGCGGGGAGGCGGGGCGATGATGTTCGCGGCGCTGGTGCGCGGGTTCGAGGTGTGCAAGACGTGGTGGGCGTTTGACGACCCGCCTCCGCCGTGCTGGGACGACGAGGACGGTGGCTTGGCCGACGAAGAGGAGGGTCCGCCGGCGGCGTTACTATTCGAGGCGCTGCTGCTTCCACCGCCGCTGTTGTGTTCCTTGTTGTTGCTACTGCTGCTGCCGCCTGGGATGAAGGAGCGGCGCTTCTCCGCCGGTGTCGTGGACATCCGGCCGAGCTTTTTATCTTTCGTCATGGGGACGGCGGGGGACGAGCATGCGACTGGCTTGGTACTGCATGATGGGGAGGTAAGACGATGAGTTTAGGGCGTGGCGGGTTTTCGCTTATTCTTCTAACCCGCTTGCAATGAAGGGGAGATCTGACGGGCCCTTTCGAATCCTTTTGGTCTGGCCCTTCTTCTCCTCCCCTTGATTTTTTTCGCCAAAGCCGACCTTTCCCCTCGTTGTTGATGACAGGTCTTGGGTCTGCGTACGCAGCTTCGGAAGGGGGGTGGATTGGCGAGAGAAGTACGAAGTGGCGTTTGCTGGCTGCCTGGTCCTTGGCCTCTCAAGGCAAACACCACAAGCGGAAACCGAAGCTTCTAGAGAGCTATTTGATCCCCTATCGTCAAACAGAGGTACGTCGAGGCAAGGCGAGGCGAGGCAATTAAGGTAGCCTTCCCGTGGAAGCTGGGTTGGGAACGTCGTCGCAAGTCAGTCCTCCCAGGATGTTAGGTCGACATTGGGGGCCGGCGAGGGTCTCTCTTGTCATTGGGGAGAGGGGCGTCCCATAGTTCCCCGCCGGAGCGGTATTTTTAGCGGCCCGGCGCTTGTGGCCGCGCTCGGGGCTGAACCGTGGGGGCTGTGCGGTGCGGTGCTTCTTCGGCTGCCAGGGAGCCCTGGGTTTTGATCTGGCGTTTATACAGGAATATAGGCTTCGTAACTGAAGCGTTAAGTATAACTAGTTAGGTGAACCTTTAGGTCACGTTTCCCTGCATTGTACGAATTGTTTGCATCGTGTAACTCTCTCCGACCTGTCTATGCTGCCAAGTCTCCATGTTCAATCAATGGATCGTTTGCTCCTGGCGATACTTTCAACGTCACTGTCTTGAGACTGTCACAAACATTCGCAAACCTCAAGACTTTGATCTACTCTAATTGGGGCCATCCATTGCTCCCCGAGAGTTGTTGGGACTCGCAGGCTTCTGGGTAAGTCGTATAATAGACCCAGGCTGCTGGACGAGACTAAAAGTCGATCTCGGCCTCGACCTCGTATGCTTCGTCATCCGTCCCCTCAATCTTCTTGGCACCCATACGGCAGATAGCAATCTTTTCCAGGGGCACATCCTCCATCCAGACGTAATCATCGTATCGGTCAAGTATATCCCTCGCGTCGATGGTCAGCTTCGGACCCTTCTTGCTCCAGCCGCCCTTGACATAGATTGTGTTGACAATGGTGGCGTGCAACAACAAGCCCCGGGCATCCTTCTCCATGACTCCGGCCTCTTCGAACGTAGCCCTGATCCTCTCGCAAAATGTCTGGAAAACACCTTCACCGTGTACAGGTGGCGCGTATAGGACCGAGGCCTTGCTGGGATCCGCTCGAGGGCCCGACTTCATGCAGTGTAAGCCGCGGAGCGTGATTCGGAGCGGCGAGTCGGTTCCGGGAGCGCTAGCGGACGACTGCGCCTTGTCGGCCAACGGGGTCTCGGAGGACAGAGGCGTGATGCCAGCCAAGATATCCCGCGGTTTCAGGTTCTTGAGGACCTCGGTTGCTTTGCTGATGCCCTCGTCCTTGGTCAGACTCATGATTCCAAGAGTGAGGTGCAGAGTGCCGAGCGGCCGCACGGCGTCTGTAGGAATTGCGAAGCTGTCTTGGCTGGTGACATCTGCCTTGAAGGAAGCCAGGCTCTTTGATAGCTGGGGTCTCGAGGCTGGAGTGACCAAAGGTATGCACAGAAAGTGTGTAGGCGAAGGCCTGGCGTTTGGACGAGGGGGCATGGTGGCTTGTTCAAAGAAAGGGGGGCAAGTCGATGGAGTCTTGATGCTCCGTTGCGCGTGGTCCAGTGTGGTCTTCCAGATCCCACAGGCTTCGTCACCTACGAGAAAGAGACGGTCTGGTGGTAAGGATTGTATCCAGGAAGCCTGCAGGTGTTCTGATGAGCCGGTGAAATCTGCGAACCATGTTAGAGCTTAGTTTCCTGGATGGTCCCGCGAACGGAGTCAACAAGCAGTCAAACGGCGTGGTCCTGTCGGGCCGGCCCGGAGATCAGTAAGAGGAAGCCCTGTTAAAGACCCGTTGCTCGCGTGGCAGTTAAGACAATCCGATCCATCGTGGATTCGATCTCCGATAGTGGTGAGATGGGCTTGAGAAAGGAGAGACTTGGGACGCAGCCTGTGGGAGGCATTTCCAGCAGATCCCGCACCGCTACAGGGCTCGCGGGCTTAGGATGCTCCCCAGTGCCTCAAGAATAACACGCAGACGTACCAGGTTCAAGCTATGGCGTCAAGTTGTCGATCTCTGAGCCTGGCCTTCGTCACTCCTCACAATGATGTCAGTCCAGTCGGTCAAGGCTGAAAGGCAAGCGGGTGACATAAGCGTTTGCCGCTCTTTAGGTACCCTACCTAGCCCTTTCCCTGCTATTTCTATTATTATGATTCTTCTTCTTTTAAAGAGTATTCTCTGGTAAGTATGTAGAGGATAAAAGTAACAATAGAAAAACTCAAGATAAAAAAGAAGAAGAAGAAAAAGAAGAAGAAGAAGAGAGTTCGGAATAATAAGCAGGTAAGTAAGCATTAACACAATCTTTTGTTGCCCAGCATCCTATTTTGTCACCCACTTGAAAGGGTACGCTCGGGTAGAATTTTGATGGGTTCCCCGCTGCCCGCACCAAGTGAATCCTGCTTGTCAGCCCGTCTGCCAGCCCCGGACCATGACCACCGCGACGAGGACTAGGAGGAAGTGCCACAGATCTGACGCCGGCCACCCGACAACATAGCGCGTGTAAGTTTTGTTCGAGCTGGAAGGAGGGAGACCGTCTTCAAGGAATAAGAAGATTAATTCACAGAGCGGCTTTTGTCGCCGTTACTCGCGTAGGATCGACAGCTGTGTACCGCAAAGAAGTTTTGGTATCGGCTCTTTATAAACGAACGCAGGTAGTGCTATTGTCCGTCTATCCAGTGAGGTGGTAAAGACTGTGATAGCATGCTGTTGATTTAGGACTATGGCAGGCGTAAATGGGGGAGCCCATGGCACGAGCCTTCAGAACCTTTCCTTCGTCTCAGTTGGTTGACTGCCTCGGCCATCCAGCTATTAACTCGGCTTTCCCCTTTACAAACAAAAAAGGGTCTCCCATGCAAAGCCAATCCAGGTCACCATGTCAAAATGCCAATTTTTCTTCGTGAATCAAATTCGTAAGCGTAGAGAAGGGGGTATGAGGAGAAATGGGTTCGTAAGCAAAGTGTCAAAGGGCCAAGGTACTGGGAGAGCCGCGCAGCCCTCTGGGGGTGTAGAGCATCCTCTGTCGTGGCCCATGTCCCTCTTGTCGTCACAGCCATCGTTTCTAATGCTGGGCGACAGAACGGCTGGTGCTAGGACACGGAGCGGCGGCGTTGACCAGAAGTCGTCGATGGCGGCTTTTAGTCTTCTTCTTCTTCGGTGCCAAAGAACTTCTTCAGAAGCTTCTCGGCGTCCTCGTACTCCGTCTTGAGGTCCTTGAGCGTCTTCTCAATTCGCTCCAAGCACAGCTTCTCGTCCGTCTCTGGAGTTCCATCCTCGTTCTCCTTCTTGCCGTAACGTTGAATCTTTTCGCAGCTGTCTCTAACTTTGACGAGTCCCAACGTGGCCGAAGAGCCTTTGAGGAAGTGGCCGAGCGATGACAGCTTCTCGAGATCCTTCTCCTCTCTACGAAGTTGAGTAAGAAATCAAAGTCAGCATTGTCCACAGCCAGTGCAATCGAAACGTGCGCCAGACCACCAGCAAAGGAGCTTCCATCTGCTACTGAGGGTACTTCAGGGGTGAGGGGGGGGGGGGGGAAGGGCAGGAGAGGAGAGCGGAGAGGGGCGCCAGCAAGGCAGAGTGGGGGTAATGATGATGATGATGATGATGATGCGACTCACAAGGCCTCGTCCATCTGCTCAAAGGTCTCTTCTGCTTGCTCGAAGAAGCCAAAAACGATTGACTGGCTGAAGTCGCGATCATTCTCGTCCTCATCCATCTCCAGGATCTGACCGAAGGTGACTGAGTCAATCGCATCGCCAAAGTCGGGGGTACTGAGGGGACCATCGTCGCTCTGTGTGCAAAACACCCCACGTTAGCCCAGCCCTTGTGACCCGAAACACATCACCACAAAAGCATCACACGAGAGTAAAACTCAATCACATACCTTGTCTTCTGAAGCAGGCATTTTGGTGGTTGAGTATGCGGCTTGTTAGAGTTGTTGTGTGTTTATGTAGCGTAAGTGGGCGTGAAGGCAGGGCGGATAAAGGCGTGGTTTGAAGTGGTATTGGCTAAGGGCGCTCAAGATGAGAGGACGGTGTGTGATTGGCGACAGCAGGTAGGCACAGGAAGAGAGTAGAGAGGCTACCGAAGCGAAGGTTTTGGTTAGAAAGACAACGAGAGCCAACGCAAGACAGCAAAGCAAATGTTCAGTCAGGCGGTGGTGGATCCCACGATGTATGATGGAGTGTGTGTGGACTGTGGAACAAAGGCTTTGGATTCTTTGCGACCGGTTCTTGGGGATAGGCTGGTGGAATCTGGATTGCCCTGTGAAAGGATGAGGAGAGTGGCCAAGGTGCCAGTCCGTACCGTTGCCGCCGTTGGTGCTTCCGCCGCCAGCGCCAGCAGCGTGGTGCTGCAGGTGTGATGATGGTGAAGGGGAGATATACCGCAACCGCAGGGAACATGCAGCTCAAGGTGGATATTCGGGATAGATGAGGTAGGAAGGGGTTGGTGCTCGTGGGCAGCAGAACCGGACACACAGAAGACAAATGACTTACAAAGAGGTAGAGATATGGAGACTGCGGGCTCAGGTCTGAGAGGACGACGAAGTGTTTTCCGAACTAGAATGAGAGAGGGTAAGCTATCGGGTCCGATTATGGTTGGGCGCGCATATAATAAGACGTCGGGAAGAGCTGGTTGGTGGTGTAAAAGAGGCAGGCAACGAAGCAGGTAGGGCTTCCGAGGTGTCTAATAATTTTTCGGCGGGGGATGCAGTAAGTGGATGTGGGTAGGTAGGTGGGCTTTTTTTTTTTTGGA